ATGTTTTGTTTAGAAACTTTACCTTTGGAAAGTTTTTATTAGTAAAGTTTATCCTGAAGAAGTACTTTCCAGGATGTTGCCATAACCAACTGTCAAATATCTGTCAATCCTTGAGTTGATGTTTTCTTGATTTTCTTGACCCCTGAGTCGATGTTGTTTTATTATTTCCTCAACCTCTGAGGTAATTTGATTTCGACCACTGAGCAGATTTATTGTCTTTATGTTTTTAAGCCCTGAATTGATGTTGTCTTTATTTTCTCAACCCCCGAGTTGATGTGGTCTCGACCCCCGAGTTGATGTGGTCTCAACCCCTGAGTTGATGTGTTCTTGATCCCCAAGTTGATGTCGTTATCCTTATTTCCTATACCTTTGATTTGTCAATATCATATCCTTGTTTTTCCCGACCCCCGAGTCGATATCTGTTTTAGCTTGATGTCTCTTCAACCCCCAAGTTGGTTTGTTCGTCTAGATTTGCTTTTTACCCCCAAGTCGATATTATATTTATTTTCTCAAACCCACGAGTTGGTATAAGTAAGTTTACTTTAAACTTGAACTCTTTGAAATATGTTATGATGTACATTGATTAGGAACATGTTTGTTATTTTATATGTGATGATTTTGAACCATTAAATGTTGCTTAGTGTGTTTGAATAAGGTTGTACCTGTGAAAATTCAAATATGATTCACTTGAGGTTCCATCATCGTGTTTTAAAATAGAGGCATTTTTAGGAAAAATCAATGTTGCCACTGAATTCCTTGTGAAAATTAGACAATTTTGGTTTTTACATCATCTCATTCCATTAAGTATTGAGTAAGTTATGTTGCTTCTTGCAAATGGTTGAAAACTTAAAGTTCTTGGTCCAACCAGCCATGACTGCTTGGCTGGGTTTTCAAGACCTTGGTTAGTTTATGTTTTAATGGGTAGAGGTGATACAATGGACGTATCACCATCCCAGTGGTTATGACTTGCGCGCTTATGTTCCCTATGACCTGAAGAACTAGGGTTCGAATCCCCCTCACCCTAGCTCTTTTTATTTTTCCCAGTTTCCAAGTGAATTTCATATATTATTATGTGATTCCATAAGTTTTCACAAGGCACGTGTTGGTTAGACTGGTTAGTGTTTTAAGTTGCAAGACTGGTGGCCTGGGTTCAACACCCATGAGGATCATCCCCATCATTTTTGCCACTTAATTTCTTTATTTTCTTCACAATTTTAAAACATCACAACTCCTTCATCCTAAATCTTTTTTGACCCACTCTTTTTTCAAAATGTCCATGATGATGGCTAGTTTCTGTTTATGAAAATAAAGTTCCAAAAATAATTATTTTTATTCCACTTATGTATGCTTAAAGTATGTGACTTTTTAGGGTTTTCTTAAGGTTCATTTTGATTCTTTTGTTGATTCCCTTGATTTTGTTTGTACATATGGACTTGTATGAACCTTGTATAATATTGTGGACTTGTGAATACTTGTTTGAGTTTGACTTTGGTGCATTTTTAAGTTTATGTTTACATGTAAATGTATGTTAAAACTTTGTTCATACCATGCTACTTTTTGCTTGATCTGTTGCCTTAAGATGTGACTTCCTTCCATATTTACATGACCTTGATGTGTACATATGCCTTTGTGTTGATAATACTATGTTTATGTGTTCTTAAACACTTGAATTTTTCCTTAAAAGTGACTTTGTGTATATGTTTGTATGCTTATACCTTTGTGATGTCTCTACCTTGTTTAAGGCCATGTTTGAATCCTAACATGTATGTTTGGTTGTTACCTATTTGTCTTAACATGTTCAACTTGGATCCATGCTTAAATGTTCAAGTAATGTCTTAACTTGTTCACATGATGTTTAAACTTTAACTTGTCATCTCTAAGCTTGCTCACATGCCATCCATTATATGTTTACGTCTTCCATCCATATGTTATTGTTATGAACATGTCCCTTTTGCTCAAGTATGTTTTGGTTGTTACCTTTACTTGTCTTGAATGTCTTAAATTGTATTCATGATTTAGTGATGTTTTAACTTATGCATGTTTACCTTGAATCTTGACTGTTACCATGTTAAGTAATGATTTGACTAATGCATGCCTTTTTTCAACTTTGAATCTTCTTCATGTTAAGTGATGTCTTGACTTATACATGATAACTTTGAACTTTATTCTCATCCATGTTTAGGTGTTGTAATAACTTATACATGTCATACTTGAATTTTGAATCCTACCATGTTATGTAAAATTTTGACTTATGCATGATGGTTTTGAAACATGAATGATGCCATGATAAGTAATGCCTTGAGTAATACATGTTTTGCTTCATCTTATCCATGCTTGATTTCTTAAATTGTATTTATGATTAAGTGTTGTTATAACTTATTCATACTTGTCTTGTATTCATGATTAAGTGGTTTTAGTAAACCCTAATGCATGCTTGCCCTAATTATGTGCTTGAACTTGTCATCCATGATGTTTTAGTATTGTTAGAACTATACCTCATGTGTACCTAGATGTTGTAACATCTTTGCTTGTATAAACTTACTTTGGTTGTCACCATGATAGTTTGTAACTTCGTTAAACTTTGAATGTTCTTGGTTGTTACCTTATTCTTTCATAATTTTGTCAAGTATTTGCTCTAGATGTTGTCACATCTATCCTTATGCTTTAGTTGTCACCATGTGCTTTAACTTTTTCATACTACAATTAACATTATGTTTGAATGTTACCTTGAATATTTTCAATTGATATCATGTTTGAATATCATACTTGTTCATCTAATCCACATTATTCATACTTTTTCACTTTGTCAAGTTATTACCCTCAGTGATGCTAGTTTGTTAGCTTCCATCCTTATTGCCTTTTGTTTCCTAATCCAAGGGAACGAATACTTCATTGACTTGATGTCATAAGTAGTTTAGCAACATCCATTTTCTCCCTTGAACTTGTTAGAGTCATTAAGTCTTACAACTTAGACATAGGGTATAATTTACAACTCTTTTGACTTTGTTAAGTCATGTAAGTGTTAAGGCTATAACAAATATATCAAGAGGTTCCTATGCATACTATAGATGCTTAGGATGTTAACACCTTCCCGAGGTATAACCATCCCCCGAATCTTAGATCTCTTAGCATTGTTGTTATATTGCAAACTTAGGGTTTTATACAATCTTTTCTCTTGCCCTTGGATAAAACAATGTTCGGTGGTGAATCTTAAAGATTTGTGATTCAAGTTAATCAATATCTTGATATTCAATTCTCACCGCAACAGTGTGAATGGAAAATTTTAGGAGGATCATTCAATGAAGAAAATATTTAGAGGGATTAAAAATGAAATTTGAGATATTTAGGAGGACCAAAATCACTTTAAAACCTTTAAAATATTGTTAAAAGTAGAAAAAAATTAATAGTGCTTTGAACCATTACCAAAAAAAATTATACTAATAATTTGTAAAACAAATGATGACAGTTTAATTCGTCAGAATTTCACAATCATGACGTTTTGAAACCGTCACAACCAACACTTAAAACAAAATTGAAATTGAAATTCACGACGGTTTGTAACCGCTACAATTTGAAATTTACGTCAAATGTCTAACCATCGCAACTTAGAACGATGGATGGAGTGACAGTTTTAGGAACTGCGGTACAGCCTGACGACACACGTTTTCAGGACAGAAACAAAATTGTCGCGACTAGCAATTGACCATCACAACTTGTCAATTTTCTTGTAGTGTTCAATCTTATTTAATTTAGGTAATCTTAATTATTTGAATTTTATTTTAGTTATTATGTTCTATTATTTTAATTTTAGTCTGGATTATTTTATTTTATTTTATATTAATTATTTAATTTGTTTAAATTATTCTTAAATGAAGGTTCAAATTAAGTGTACAACTATTTACATTATTATATGTATTATTGATATTATTGTATTAAGTTTATAATCGATTTTTGAAATATTTATTTTATTAAGTTGTGAATATATGATTGTGTGTGACATATCTATGAAATTTATTTTTATATTATTATTTTATTTAATAAATAATAGACTATAGACTTAATTGGTTGAACTAATTAAACCTTAACCCGAATGCTTCACCAGGCCGGTTCGATCTCCAGCCCGATTTTTAAAACATTCTTCAAAACAACTTATAAATTTTTGGCTTAACTATTTCATTGTTAAATTCAATATATGTTCCATAATGAGTGGTCACGTTGACCATGTTACATATATTAAAAAAAATTGATAAATAAAAGACAAAATACCAATTATCATATATTGCGAAGGATGAAAGTAGTAGTAATTAAAAGGAACAATTGAAAAAAAAACTAATTTGCATCAATTGAAATTAATCATTTATTTAAAAATATTTCTTTATTCTAAATAAAACCTTTATTGTGGAACGGAGTACTAAATAAGTTCTTATATTTGATATATAGAAATATCTAGAAAAATTATTTAAAAAAATTATCAAAATTAAGAACGCGATAATAATTGGTCTATGTAGGAGACTTAATAATTGATTGTTAGTAAAATAAAAATTAATTGTTGTTGGTGGTGTTATTGTTTATATACATAAGTTTGATTTCAAATCATAAACAAACTCCGAACACATGCATACGCATGAATATTCTTCTAATTACTAATTATGGGGCATTAATATAGAAATGCAAATATTTCCCAAAAGGATGATAATATCTTTATTTTTAGTGGCAAATATAATATACAGAGACAAAAGAAGAAATTTAGTATAAGTAATATTTATTCATGTATAAAGCACATTAAGAGAGTTCAATACTCCACCATTAATAATGGTCGTGACACACACAAACTGAATCAACAACTGCATTTCAATACAATTATAAATTAACACAAAAGAAGTGTAAAGATATGATAAAATAGTCTCCAAGAGGAGATACAAATGGTATATAATGTGCCCATATTGCAGAAAATTAAAAGTTGGCCATACTTGAAACACATGTAGAATGATAGTAATTAGTTAAGATTTTGCAGGGTGAACAGCAAACCAAGTTTGGATAACTGTAAAAGCAAGTGCGAGCTCCGCAGAGTGGACTGCAAAGTTAGTCCAAGGGTGGCGGATATATCTTAGAAAACGTACAGTTTTAGTCTTCCATTTATTTGTCATATGCTTGTTAATTTTCTCAAAAAGATCCGAGTATGGTTTCGCATTAGATACTGCATCAGTAGTTATATAATGGAATAGCTTAATCAATTCTTCATCAGTTCCGTAGTTGCTAAATAAAATCCCTGCTAATCTCAAGTCTTTCACATCTTCTGGTTGGCGAATCAATGAGTTTATGAATACCAGAAATGTGCTAAACCCATAATCATTATTAAAATCTGGACTCATTTCATACGCTATCAAGTTAAGGAAGATAGAAACTGTTATATCGTCTAAAACAATCTCAGGAAGCTTCAATTCTCCATTAAGCCATCGGTGGGAGAAAGACATGTCTATTCTGCTTGACTTACTTGATTTTATTTTGATACCGTTTGATTTCAGCTCCTGTATGTTCATGTATCTTATAACACTGTTGCTTATAATACTATTTTTAGGTCTCTCCGAATTATGTGCTAGGTCTGTTACAAGACTGTTGCCACTGCCCGCCATCATAAAAAGATATGCAGCTCTTACAATCCGTATCTGATTTTAATTGAAGAATTTAATAATATTAATAGATACAAAATATAAAATATATTTATTATTATAAAATATATTCAGAATCATAAGAGTATATAGAATTTTTATGTTCATCGAATATTTTTGTTTTCGGATTTGAAAAATTGAGTTTGACACAAGGAAATTATCGGGACGAGTCGCGTACTAGGTCGTTTTCTTTAAGACGTTTCGCCGTACTGCCAAAATATGCAAAGCAGTCGATTTACGACGACGTCTCCAGGATAAAACAGCCCGTTCAATAACGTACGATTGATAAATCGTTCTAGAAATACACCTTTCTAAGTCACAGTATTTGGCGAAAATAGCCGGTAGAAAAAACAAGAAAAACAAGAAAGAAAGGATTTGTAGACGAAGAGAATTAAGGGAGAGAAGATGGAAATCAAAATTGGTGTGAACTTTTTTTGAAATCCGGTACTCATACTTCGCGCCACCTCACCTCCACCAATTGCTTCAGCATAAGAAACATTAGGTGTGAAAGAAAACTGTTTTGCACATGAGAAATTTGTGTGTCCCACTTCCGACTCTACCCTCTTCCTAGGCTGAGTTTTACTACCATGGTGAACCACCAGTATCCTCCTCTGGAATCTGGGCACATTGGCATAAATCTTTTTGCTGTTGATCAAAATGTTGTCGAGTTTAACGGCCAAGAGTCTCTCGTCATCTACATTCTTAAATCTCACAAATACGTACCGCTTTATCTCATTTTGGAGGGATTACCATCTCCACCACCAAACCATATTCCTTAAAGATCTCAAACATTTCTTTTGCTTCATAACCATTTCTTTAGCATAAATTGTTTTTTTACTCCAGCATAAATTGTTAATAATGGTATTTTCCGTTTAAAATCATGTTCCAACCTTTACTTTTATATTGAAATTCTATTAAAATTGCAACAAGTCCGAACACAAGAGATGATTTATCTATTTAGAATAATCAATTGTTCTCTGATCCTTCTAATAAAAGATTGTCAATTGTACTCTAAAGAAAACACATTCTTTCCATTGATGAAAATTATGATTTAAATTTTGATATTCCTGATACTCTTTGTTTCACAATAATGTGCCTAGTTTATATGAAGTTGATACAAATTATTTGCAAGCTATTTGTTATGATGATGAAGAACGTATATTATGAAAACTAACATGTAAATATTTTTAATGTTTATTTATAATTTATTATTTTTTATAATTTTTAAGTGTTATATACTAGCAAGTATATTTATTTAAAATTATAGATGTTTAAAGACAAGAGAACAAAGATGTCAGGTCATGTTTTGCATTTAGCTTTCCTCAAAATTATGAATTTAGTGCAAAATAATTTTTCATGTGAGTTGTTTACTTGCTTCATTTAATGATATCTAAAATGTGTGTTATTTTGATTCCATTTTTTATTTTGATGTAATAATATATATTTTTTATTCATACTAGTTGTATTTGAAATGTATTGTTGTTGTGTTTTGATCTATTCATAATCACAAAAATACATGAAATTTACGTAATATAAAAAAAAATTTAATAAAATGACACATTTCACTACAGTTAGTTCTTTCAATCGTCGTCAAATTAAAATAGCATGTTATCCAATTTTAAAAAATTATTAAAATAGTATTGTTGGATATCGAACCAATAATCTTTCTACTTTTTATTACAGATGAATATTCTAACTGTGGAAAAAATAACGAATTATCCAACTTATTACCATAATCAATAGCATGTGATTGTAAAAGATTGCAAGACGAACAATGAAAGTTGCTTTGAATTCTTTGTGAGTGTCCTTTATTTCCTTCAAGACTAAAATGTTTGGTTGACGCTTATCATTGGATAGATAACCCACGAGGGAAAACCTTTTTCATCATCATATCATATCAAATTCTTATGATACTGACTGTGTATTCTGCTTTGGTCATTTAGAAGAGGCAAGTCATCTTTTTTCTCACCTGTCCTAAATTGTTAGTAGTATGGAGTAAAGTTTGCACTTGGCTGAAAACTAGGATGGTAAATGAAATCACCCTATCATAACGTCTATTGGTTTGATCTTCTAGTTTGAGAGGAAGATGTTCCAAAAAGTTTGGTGTCAGAATGTGGGTGGTGGTTTGGTAGGCGAAAAATCAAATAATCTTCAACGATGAATTTTGCGATCCGCAGTCAATTGTTACGCGCGATCCGCAGTCAATTGTTACGCGAATTAAATATTTCTTTTGGTGGTGGATCTTAATTTTATCAAAGAGTAAAATGTCTTATAACTTTTATCAATGACATTTACATCCTCTTGATTTTTTATAAAGTTGGCTAGTAGTTATTTTTTTTTCTTTCCTATACGTGAGTAATTGGTTGTATATAGGGTTGGGATACACCTAGTTCCTTTATAAATATTAATCTTTGCTTATAAAAATAAAAACATCTAGTAATAAGTAACACATTTACTATCACATCTTTTTATCACATCTTTTGTTATTGCGAACCATCACTCGTAGTTAAATCTCTATTTCAATCGTCGTAAAATATATTTTTTTACAAATAATTTATCAATAATCAATGATTTATATTAATTAACTGTAATATAATTTATTAATTCTTAATTATATTAATCTATATTTAATTAATTAATTAATCAATCTAATATTCAGGTCTAATCCTTAAATTTTGACCCTATTAAATATTCATTATTATTATCATAAATGAAAATAATATTTATTATTATCATGATAAATACTACTTCCACTTTTCATTATAAATCGTTTTGTTAAAATACTCTATGAAAAAGAGAAATAGGTTTACCTAAGATAAAATCCATATGACTATTAAATTAATAATCAATTTTGAGATATACCTGACGTAGGCTCCAGAGAAAAAGCGTCTGGCGAAGAAGATCAAGAAGATGAGTAGTCTCTATATCCGATGGACACTCTGCCTGATCCCCAATCTTAGCGATATGATTAAATTCTAGAAATTGTTGTACTCTTTCAATCAAATTGAACCGATCACCGGACAACAAGCGCAGCACCTTGAACGGCAACTGGTTCTCCAATAAAAGCACATCCCTACTCACAAGCTTCATAATCGTTTCCTTGTTATCAAAATGATTGTCTGTGTCTAAGATATACAGCAAAGAACATCCATCAACAAACAACATCCATGCTAACTTTTCGTCAAAGCTACCGAAGCTTTTTGGATCAGTATTGCGGGCCATGGTGAAAACATTGTCGGCATAATCATCCTTCAGTTCAGCAAAGTTATCTGCAATTGTTTGGTATAGATCTTTTGAGCTGAGTCCTGTACTTTCAATGTAGTGTTTTGCCCAAATAAACTTGTAGTGCTCTCCTATCTGCAGTTCTGGGATACCATGATGGATAGGGCCCATTGATACTATCTTGGGAAGATAATGGCTCTTATAATCCGTTCGTTCTCGAAGATTATTTGCTACCTTCTGTATTTTGGGGCGTGAATAATGGTATATATCCACTGGTCTGCTTATCTCTCTTAACCTATTCTCGAGCATCTCATCTGGTGATGACATTTTCTCATTCATTGGGTGCAAGTTTGGTGTCGTGTAGTTAGTTGCAAAGGTATATATATAGTATCTTGAATTAATGTATGGTGTATTTCACATATGCATGATTTTACCTGATGCACAAGATAAGTATATAGATCATGGGCAAGGTGTGTATCAAACTATTGCTAAATATGTAACGCTTTTACACTTTATTAAATATTTAACGATAAACTAACAAGGAAAGTATATAATGTATCTAATGCTTGTGAGGAAAACATCTGTGCTTTTTTAACAAATAAAGAAAGTAGTAAATAAATAGTAAGAAAAAAATTAAAATGAAAAAGGGAGTGTTTAATCCTTAATCAGTTATGTAAGAAAAAAAGAAAATAGAGGATTCTAAAGATCACTTCTACAGGAAGAAAATGAGATGAGTGTCTTACTATTTTTTTCTAACTTTGTTCAAGAAAAAACGCTAATTTGTTTGCAAACCTAAAAACCATCCGGCAACTTATATTTTTCAAAAGTTTCAAACACTTTTCGAAAATTTTGGTCGTAACTATGTTGTCGAGTGAAAATCACCTCGCAAAATTTAGATGTTTTATATTTAAGTGATTTTTTTTCTTACTCATTCTCTTTTATTATATTCATACCACATATATCCTTTCTTTCTATATAAACGTTTGGAGTCTTATACATTATGGAAACCCAATCTTAAATGTATCTTTATCAAATAATCAACCATAAACATTGTTGAAATATTAAACTTGATTTGGGTCTAAAAATATTATTTGGATTTTTGGGCTTAGTTATTTTGGACTTTGGTAATAATAATTAATGTTTCTAGAATACTCTTGTAATGTTTGGAGTGTCTAGATATTTCTTAAGGTTGTAGTATTCTCTAGAATGCTCTTGGAATTCCTAGAGTTGAGAACTCTCTAGAATTAGTGTGTCTAGAGTTCTCCTTGGAGTACTATAAATAGAGATGTAATTCTACACTTTTGTATCAAGCAAAATACAAAGTTCTCTCTTCCATAAATAATTCTTCTACCTATCAAATTTCTCTTTAAACCTCCAATATTCCCACACACTTTTTTCTAAACACAAAAGGTCTTATTTTCAACAAAGTGGTATCAGAGCTTGAAGGTCCTCAAAAGATGGCGAATGGAGGTTTCCCTTTTCAAATCCCGATACTCACAAAGAACAACTATGACAATTGGAGTATCAAGATGAAGGCGTTACTAGGAGCTCAAGATGTGTGGGATATTGTTGAGAAAGGCTTCAAGGAGCAAGATGAAGCCTCCTTAAGCCAAAGTGTAAAGGAGACATTAAAGGAGTCAAGAAAGAGAGACAAGAAAGCTCTCTTCCTCATTTATCAATCGGTGGATGAAGATACATTTGAAAAGATCTCCAATGCAACGACGGCCAAAGAAGCATGGGACAAGCTCCAAACTTGCAACAAAGGAGTGGAGCAGGTGAAAAAGATTCGTCTTCAAACTCTTAGAGGTGAGTTTGAACGTTTATTTATGGAAGAGTCTGAGTCAATTTCTGATTATTTTTCTCGAGTATTATCCGTAGTCAATCAACTTAAAAGAAATGGTAAAGATGTTGATGATGTGAAAGTCATGGAGAAAATACTTCGCACTTTAAATCCAAGTTTTGACTTCATTGTTACCAACATTGAAGAAAACAAAGATTTAAACACCATGACTATTGAGCAACTTTATGGGTTCCTTACAAGCATACGAAGAAAAACAAAAGAGAAAAATTAAACAAAAGGAGACTATGGAACAACTACTACAACTCAATGCAAAAGAGGCAAACTATGTGAATTACAAGAGTCAAAGAGGAAGAGGTCGTGGCCAAGATCGTGGACGTGGACGTGGACGAGGACATGAAGGAGAAAGAAGAGGCAGTTACAACAACTACTCCAACAACTTCAACAATGGAGAAAGAAGTTGGAATTCACAAGCAATAAGAGGTCGTGGAAATGGAAATTCATGTTCAAGGTGCAACAAGCTACAAATTAAGTGTTTCAATTGCAACAAAATTGGTCACTATGCATCTGAGTGTAGATTCTCAAAGAAATTTGTGGAGAGAGCTAACTTTGTAGAAGAAAAAGGTGGAGAAGAAGAAACTTTGCTGCTCGCGTGCCAAAACCAATTTGAAGAGAAAAGAAACAAGTGGTACCTCGACACCGGCGCAAGCAACCACATGTGCGGCGATCGAAGCATGTTCGTAGAGATCAATGAAGCGACAACTGGAAATGTCTCATTTGGAGATGATTCAAAGATACCGGTCAAAGGCAAAGGTAAAATTCTCATACGCTTAAAGAATGGGAGCCATCAATTCATATCCAATGTCTACTATGTTCCTAACATGAAAAATAATATTTTGAGCCTGGGACAATTATTGGAGAAAGGATATGACATCCACTTGAAAGAACATAATCTTTTCTTAAGAGATTGCGGGCATAACTTGATCGCTAAGGTGCCTATGTCAAAGAATAGAATGTTCCTCTTGAACATTCAAAATGATGTGGCAAAGTGTCTCAAGGCTTGCTATACCGACTCTTCGTGGCTATGGCATCTACGATTTGGACACCTCAACTTCGGAAGTCTAGAATGTTTGTCAAAGAAGGAGATGGTGAGAGGCTTGCCTAGTATAAACCACCCAGACCAACTATGTGAAGGATGTCTAATTGGGAAGCAATTCCGAAAAAGTGTTAGATGCCAAATTTCACTTATTTGATCTATCATTTATTGGCATCTTTCACTCATTTTTGTCATAAAAGTGTTGAAAACCACTCTTGTTTTGTTTGGTTTGCAATATATTGTGAAAAAATCTTGGTACCTTTGATTTGTGTGTTATTGTGCAGGAATTAGGCACAAAACAATTGAAAAGTAAGACACAAGAAATGGGCAAAGGAATAAGGAAAGCAAGCAAACAAACAGCAAGTTCGCTAGGCGAAGATGCAGCGAAGGAGTAGCGAGCATTCGCTGGGCGAAGGCGCAGCGAGCCTTCAGCGAGCACTTCCAGTAGAAAAATGCTTTCAGTTCGCTAGCAGCTCGCCTAGCGAGCAGGTAGCGAACGAACCCAGAATTGGACAGTTAGAAAGTACCAAAATTTGTTGGATTCGCTAGTTGTTCGCCTAGCGAACGTGACAGAACCTGAACGTGTATTTAAGTGATTTTCTTGTATTTTTAGGTCATAACTCCATTTTTAGGAGAAAACTTGAGAGAGTAACATTTTAGACTATCAGAACTCGTCTCTCTTCATTTCTTTAGAGAGAGAAACACAAAACCCTAAGAGGGAGGAGGTAAGATCTTCGATCTCTTGTTGGGGTTTTGGATTGTAATCTTTTGATACCTTATGTATTTCATCTAATTTATGTTTGTGAACTAGTTTTGATTCTCTATTGAATGTTTATCTTTGATTGCTTGTTGTGGGTCTTGACAAAACCATTTCACATCTTTAATCTCAGATTTTCTTCTATCAATGAACAAACTTTTGACATGGTTTTGAAGTTGATATTCATTGTATCTTCTATGGTGTTGTGTTGATTAAGTAGCATGGGTAGGATCAATATGATATTGTGTGGGTGTGTGATGATAGTGATGAAGAACAATGTTCACCGACATTTGGCGGTTTTGATGAATACATGTAAAAAGGGTTAAACGTGTGTACGTATTCTGATCATTGTATTTTATGCAAAACAATCGTTTATTCGATATGGGTGTCGTATTTGTTTACCTGTTTATCTTTGATTTGAATCGTGATAGAGATATACTTTTCGGATCTGGAACTAGGATGATTACCTGTTAGGTCCTAATTGCTAGAGATAGTTTTAGGCTTAGCATTTGCGTTAGTATCAGTTCTTTATGTTCCATGTTGTCGAGTTGTGTGAGAGATCAACAATGAGACTATACGGTTATTTTCTCGACGTTGCGTTAGAGATAAGCTCTGTCGTGAGTGATACGTGAGGATATTAGACAAATGATTGCGCTGTGTTTAATTTGATCAGAAGAATGCACATGTTATCAATTGATGAAATCCAATCCCAACAAGGCTCCGTTTATATTTCAGTCTTTATTTTATATTTCTTGTTTTTATTTATGGTTCTTTGAACCTTTTAAACCAAAACCTTTTGAACAATAAGCTTAGAAATATGGAAACCGTTGAACGGCGTTCAAAGTCGCACTAATCCCTGTGGAGACGACAAAACTGGGTTACTTAATATTTTTTGCTTGCTGCTATACTGCATCAACAAAATGGCGCCGTTGTCGGGGATTGGTGTTGAGATTTTGAAGTGCATTGCAACGGTTCTATGTTTTTGAGCTTTGTATATTTTGTATATATTTGTTCCTTTTTATGTTTTTTCTAATATGTTCAGGAATGACGAAAACTCCTTCTAGAGTGGTTGTTATCGGTATAAAAGCATTCAATGAAGCTTCGACCGAGTTTGGATGGCAATGATAGTATGAAACAAGTTAATGTTGTCAAGGTACATGGTCTCTTTTGTTTACAATTTTAGAATGCTTAAGAACTTAAGTCTTTGTGCAAATGAAATTTGTTCTTTTGGCAACTTGTTTGAATGATTGTTTCACTTAGGACCAAAAACCACAATTTGTGAGAAAGCCTCCATTGTTTACTAAATGTTGGATTTCTGATAAACTTTGTTGATTCGTATGATTCATGCTTTATCTTTGTATCATAGTGAATTTGTGGAAGCATTAGAAATGATCAAGGCACTTGTTTTTATTGAGCACAACTATGTCCAAATGCAACTTACCCGTGAGAAGAGAGAATTCGTTAACCCCTTTGAGCCTAAACAATGTGAATCTCATTCTGAATTTTGTGAGATTCTAAAAATTTTCTTGAACCCTTGAATTTGTTTTAATTGTATTCTTTGCCATAAAAAGCTAAGAGCATTCACTTGAGGGTTGAGTAAAAGTTAAGTTGGGGCGAATGAAAAAGGAAGACAGTAGGTTGTTACAACTTTTGAAAAATTCAAGCAAGCATTGAAA